AAGAGGCAAAGTAACAACTGATACCACAAAAATACAAAAGGATTAAGAAAATGCTATGAACATCTACATGCCAACAAACTGGACAACCTGGGCCAAATGGACAAATTTCTGGAAACATAATTTTCCAAAACTCAATCAGGATTAATCAGAAAACCTAAATAGGCTGATAACAAGTAATGAAATTGAAGCAGTAATGAAAAAAACTCCCACCAAACAAAAGTCCTGGACCAGATGGATTTACAGGCGAGTTTTACCAAACATTCAAAGACGAACTAACACCTATCCTCCTCAAACTATTCAAAAAAATTCAAGAGGGAAGACTTCCAAGCTGTTCACCCTTTTCAACTACACACATGAACATATGCCCTTCTTCCCATATATAGAAATATCCATTTACTATCTGATCCCTAAGATTTCATCCTGATTCAAATCAGGGATTTCTGGTTGATGTCCATTAGCTCCACATGGCATATACCTGTTAGGCCATAGTAAAGAATAAACAGGATACAGCAATAAAAACCTGGAATGGGAAACACATGGCAGTCTACTCCACAGCAAATCCTAAATTCTGGTGTACAGGAAGAGCAAGGACTAGCTTTTGACAAAACAATAAATTCTCTAGTCAACCCATCTGGCAGTACCAAATCCTGTTTTCTGGGAGACCCAAAGACTCTCTCTTGTCCACTATCCTTCAAGGCTCCTTGTTCATCCTCTTGGGTAGCCTACTTATCAGGAGGTAGAGATATTGGAGAAGATGCCCTTATTTGAGGCTCTGAAGCTTTCATATAAAGAATTCTTTCCCCCCCAAAAAATGGTGGCAGAGTAGGAGGATGCTGCATGGACAACTGAACAAGCTGGAATTACAACTGAAATAAAGAAAGGCTTCATGAATAATCAATGGAAAACTCACAGGAGAGAACCCTGATACCCAAGGACCGAAGGTGAAGACAGCATAGAGACTGGTAGGAGGGGTCAAGGCAAGAAAGGACTGGCGAGGCACCCAAAGATGGCAACTGAAGTCCCGGAGAGATATCTCAGCTGTGAGGGGGTGCCACTGAGAACTCTGGGATCTAATCCCAAAGCTGGGCTCCTCAGCAGAGAGCATCAAACTGAGGAGGGTACCCACATAACATCTAGCTGTAAAAAGCTGTGGGGTGCTATCTGCCAGGGAGTGGCAACTGAAAGTTTGGGCACCCTCTTCAAGGGCCAACACGCAAAAATTTCCTGTGGAGCCACCCACCTTGTGTTCTGGCAGAGTGAGGGTGAAGTGGACTGGAGCTGTGAGAGCAGAACTCAGGATTGGGGACTCAGGGGATAGAGCTCAGAAGGCAGACACCCCAAGTTTCCTGGGCTGAGTCATTCTCTCACACAGCAGAGGACATCTTTCCCACACAGACATTTGCCTTGCCTGCGGGGGAAGACAGTCGACACACCCTATTGGAAAACATCTTGCCCTGAGGCCACTTAAGAGACTGAAAGTAACAATTAGCCTCCAGGCAGAAGCAACTGCCCACCTGTTGAAAAAACTCTGGCCACACCTGAGGACGACTGCCTGGGGACAATTCAACTTGGAATCTTATTAGTCTGTAGGCAGAGGTGGTCTCTGGAGGCTTTGAGTCTTTGCCTGATCCAATTAGTCAGAAACAGCCTTTAACCCTTTGCGGTCCAATTTTATTTTTGGAATTCAAACAGTCTGGTCCAAATTAATTGAAGGGATTGAATGTTGAACTTTTTAATGTTCTTATTTTAAAGTTTAAACCAAAAATTTACTGGTTATATTATTAAGTATGTTCAATCAAAGAGTTTATTCTTTAAAACATTTCATAGTGTGGTATCTTTTCAAACATTTCCCCACATGCAACCCAGCACCATACTGACAATGCATATAATCGCAGCGGTTTGCGGTGTCGACCTCAGCTCCACGTTGGACCTGCTCCTAGTGCCTGGTCTGTTGAGTCAGCCTGGACGTTGGACCGAAAAGGGTTAACACTGTCCTGCACTAGAGATTGGTAATATTATTATACTTAAAATCATTTTATTCTTGAAACACAAAAGTTTGTTGCATGTAATATTATATGTAAGATGATTTTTCTTGAATAATTGGTGTTTATTGCATGTAACATTACTATATTTAAAATAGTTTTTCTTTAAATTAAAAAATAACTGAAAAAATAAAGTAGAGCAATCACAGTAATGTAATAGTTAAGAGGTCTGAGTATTTTAAGTCTCTCTGTTGCCAATAACTATATTTAAGTAAACCAACCTGAAATTTTGTGTCATTGTCTATAAAGTAGTAAATAATACCTTAAAAAAAAAACGAATTATTTCAGCCCAGCCGGCATGGCACAGTGGTTGAGCATTGACCTATGAACCAGAGGGTCACAGTTCAATTCCCAGCCAGGGCACATACCTGGGTTTTGGGCTCAGTCTCCAGTGTTGGGCATACAGGAGACAGCTGATCAATGATTATCTGTCATCATTGAAGTTTCCCTCTCTCTCTCCCTATCCCTTCCTCTCTGAAATTAATAAAAACATATTTTTTAAAAAGAATTCTTTCAAATCAATAGTAAGAAGGCAGATAATTGCCAAGAAAATGGGCAAGAAACTTAAAAAGCCATTTCATAAAATAACAGGCCATTAAACAACTGAAAAGGTGCTGATACTTCATTAGTTATCAGAGAAATGCAAATTAAAATCACAATGTAATACCATTACACAACTACCAGAAAGACTAAAATTAAAGAGCTACACAGTACCAAGTATTGTTGAGGATATAAAGCAACTGGAGCCCTAGCCAGCAGGTGGACATCCCCTGAGGGGTCCCAGACTGTGAGATGGCGCAGTCCGGCTGAGGGGCCACCACCCTCCCTTCTCTAAATGCCCCCCGCCCCCCGCCAGTGCACATTGTCGTGCACTGTGCCTGTAGTAAACACATAATCCCTTTGACCTGGACAATTCACTGATATCTCCAAGAAATGCATTATATTTGTGTTTGTGTGTGTGTGTGTGTGTGTGTGTGTGTGTATATATATATATATATATATATATATATATATCCATGCACATACATATTTTTTAAACCAGAAGGCACATATAAAATATTCACAGAATCATTATTTATTATAGTCCAAAATCAGAAACAACCTAAACAATAGTAGAATGAATAAACTGTAGTATATTCAAGCAATATTTATAGAAATGTTGCTGTACACAACAATATAGATGATTCTCACAAATATAATGTTGAAAGAAGCCAGATAAAACAGTAATGCTGTATGATGTAATTTATATAAAGCAAAAATATTTATTAAGTTAAAAATTGATAGTGTTAAAAGTCAGGACAGTGGTCATGCTTGTGGGGTGGGGATGACCGGGAGGGACATAAGGTCATGTGGGGGCTTTTGAGGTATGGTAGTACTATACAGCTTGATATGGATGTTGGTTACATGAGTATTTCACTTTGTGAAAATTCAGTGGTCTATACAGTTATACACTTTTCTTTTTGCATGTTATACTTTAAAGAAAAAAGCCTTTCAAACAATGCTAATGTCATCTTCTTTGTTGTTATTGTTGTCCCCACAGAAACTTTAGGGAATAAAAACAAATCCCATCCCCTGATCGCCCGCCCAGCCACCTCCCTCAGAGGGAGGTCGTGGGTGGCAGCATAGTGGCAGGGTGATTCAGGGAGGGGCCGGCCACTCAACATCCCCAGATTGGCCTGCCAGGGTTGCCTCCCACAGAGGGAGGCCATCGGTGACCGCGGCGGGGTGATTCGGGGCGGGCCGGCCACTTGCTGTCCACAGATTGGCCTGCTGGTCACCTCCTGCAGAGGGAGGCCAGACTGCGGCTTAAGCCCACTTCCTGCATGTTGGACATCCCCTGAGGGCTCCCAGACTGTGAGAGGGCGCAAGCCGGGCTGAGGGACCCCTTTGATTTCACGGATTTTCATGCACCGGGCCTCTAGTATAATATAACATGAGATTCTGCCGAAGCCCCACCAGGAGTCTTGAGGTATAATGAAGGATCCTCTACTCTATTTTTATTTCTTATAATCCCAATTGTTCTGAATTAAAATAACTCTAATCCTATCTAATAATAGTCAAACATGGTCATTGTACCTTCGCTACACCTCCCATGGGCTAATCAGCGCGATATGCAAATTAACCACCAACAAAGATGGTGGCTAATTTGCATACTGCAGGCAGGGCGGGACAGCGCCATCCCGCCTGCCCTGCCGCCATCCGGGCCTTCTATCTGCAATCCTGGGCGGGGGGGGGGGGGGCGGGGGGGTCCCATGTGCGACCGGACCCGGGGCTGCTGGGTGGGGCAGCAGTGATCTGCCAGCCCACCCGGGCGTCCCATGTGCGACCCAGGGAGGAGCCCCAATCCCCAGATCCGCCCTGCCCTGTGTGGGACCGGGGCTGGCACCCCAACCCCCTGATCGGCCCTGCCCTGTGCGCGACCCGGGGAGGCGGGGCAGGCACCTAGGGATCGGCCTGCCATCTGCCACCTGGGGAGCGGGCTTAAGCCAGCAGGTGGTTATCTCCCAAGGGGTCCCAGACTGTGAGAGGGCACAAGTGGGGCTGAGGGACACCCCTCTATCCTCCATCCCCCACCCCGCCAGTGCACAAATTTTTGTGCACCAGGCCTCTAGTCATAGGATAAAAGATAGAGAAACAGACTTAGTCTAGGTAAGTGGTAAATGGTACTAGAAATATTAAGAACCCCAAATAAATATGATAAAAATAGTCATACTGTCTTTGTAACTGTAGTTTTGTAATATAATCAGTAAAGTTTTTTAAAAAAAATTCAAAAAGAAAAAATCTGGTAAAACAAAGTTTCATACTTGAGTTTTTTTAAATGGTAGCCTTACAAATATGTATAATATATAGCACATTGGCAAAATCAAGCTTTTTACAAATCAGCATTAAAAGCACTGAATTGCTCAATATTTTAAAACACATTGCAATCTGAAAACATTTTTCTTTTACTTTACTTACTCATGTATTGTGGTCTGTGTGAATACCTTGTACAACAGATGTTCTGAGCAACAATTCCACATCAGAACCTATTTTTATTAGCTGTAAAGAAAACCAAACACAGAATAAATCCTTCAGGTGTTTTTCAATGGTTCATATGAATGTACTGTTTTTGAAAAGTATAGGTTTACTACAAATTTTTTATGTAATAATCTGCCTTTAACTTTTTTAACCATTCTAAGTGTGTAGAAAGCTCAGACAGGCATATACTTTTAACTTTTATCCACCCGTTTATATTTTGATCCAAAACAGGTTTAGAGTATTTTTTTGTTGTACATATATATTTTACAATGTGTTTAAAACACATAGTTTTTTTGGGGTGGTGGTAGTGAATCTTTCCTTTATAGACTTGGATGTTCTGAACACTAGAAAGAGTGTTGGATTAGGAGTCAGAATACTTGGATTCCAATTCTGGTTCTGTCATTAAGTGTATGGCCTTGGTTTAATAACCTACTCTGATTTTCCGACCTCATTATTTGCAAAATGAAGAAATGGACTAGAACAGCAATTCTCAACACTGTGGACCCCTTGAGGCACCTTAACACCCTTTCAGAGGATCCATGATGTCAAATTTATTTTCATGATACTAGAGCCTAGACCAGTGGTCGGCAAACTGCGGCTCGCAAGCCACATGCAGCTCTTTGGCCCCTTGAGTGTGGCTCTTCCACAAAATACCGACTTCTGCCCATGGGCCACGAAGTTTCAATCGCACTGTACGTGCGCACCCGCATGTGGTATTTGGTGGAAGAGCCACACTCAAGGGGCCAAAGAGCTGCATGTGGCTCACGAGCCGCAGTTTGCTGACCACTGGCCTAGACCCTTCTACACTGTTTGAGTTGTGAGAAGTAGAGTTTTGTCTATGAAATACCATTTGTACTTGAATGAACCACTGATAGGCAGACAAACTATGATTATTCAGACTTGGGTATTTGCTAGATTTTTTTCTTGAAAATGAGTGAAGTGTGGAGGGAAGTTAACAGAGGTCAGATGATATGCTCTTATAGGTCATGGGATGAGGAGTCATGGAGGTTGTGAGCAGAGGAAGGATAGAATATGCCTTAAAAAAGAAAAAAAAGGTTCACTCTGCCTTTAAAAGTATTGAGACCAGGCTGTAGGAATTTAGGGGAAAAGAAGAAAGACCCAGGAGGAGGCTGTTGTAACAACTCAGTGAGAAATGATGGTAACTTGAACCTGGAGATAATGATGAGGAGGGTGAGAAGTGGTTGAATTCTACGTATACTTTGAAGGTTAAGCCAATAGGATCTGCTGCCAGATTAAAGTGTGAGAGAAGGAAAGCAGTCAAGACAGCACAAAGGATATTGGTCTGAACATCAAGAGGAGGGAGCTGCCATTAATTGACATGAAAGCCTGTGGGTGACCAAAACCTCACACGCTGACAGACTTGAGAAGCTTCTTGGCAAGGCAGAGAAAGGGGGAAAAAGGGCCTCCTCCTTGGAGGAGCAGAAGCCGAGTGGAGTCCTAGGTCTAAGGTTGGGAACAAGGATAAATGAGGAGCAAGGGATTAGAGGAGACCAAGAGGTGGTGTGTATGAATTCTAGAGCCAAAATATATATATATATTTTAAATATATAACTTCCATTGGACTAATAGGAATAGAGTTCTACATTGAAACTAACCATTAAGGAAATTTATCACTTGGTGATGTATAGTTTCAAAGAATATTCACAATTTTTGGAAAAGGCTATCATATACTCCTTTACCTTTCCAACTACTTGTGTGAGACTGAATTTATTCATATACTTCAACCTAAAAAACATGCTGAATGAGGAAGCAGATAGAACACAGCTGACTTCTATTAAGCCAGACACGAAGGAGATTTAAAAAATGTAAAGCATGCCATTCTTCTAACTAAATTATTTTGAAAATGTAGTATTTTTCATAAATAATGTATTTTTTTAACATGTAATGGGTCTATTGTTTTCAAATGATTCCATCAATATCTATTTTAAATTTTTCAGCTTAAAATTCTAATATAGTAAATACTGATAAGTATAACACATAAACAGCACTTTTTAGGGTACTCAATTTTTAAGAAGGTAAAGGGGTCTTGAGACCAAAAAGTTTGAAAACTGCTGGTATAGAGGATGCTTAAGTTTCCTTTTGGTGCCAAGTCTAACAAACCCTCTAATATATGACAATGTAATTATCCAAAAGCTACTAAATATTTAACATATGAAGAGTTGTAGAAAGTACCATATGTATTTATATATAACAAATATCTAATTTCTAGATTGCTTAATGTTAAATTAGTACTCTAAAAGTAAAATGAACTTGGGAGGTTGTAGTGCATTTTCTCAGTTTAGGTGATGTAAACAATTTAAAATGTAAAAAATTTTAGAAGTTTAAATGATGATTTAAAAAATTAGAAATTGCCAAATTGTTATCAGTTTACTAAATAACAAATAGGACAAACTTCCATATATACATTTTAACTTCAATTCATAACTTTACTCTAATGTCATCTTAACTTCTACATGAATAAAAATTTCATAGTCCCTGTTTGCCCTATCATATGCTTAAGGGAAACCTTTCCCTTTTTTGTTTATATTACAGAAATAGAAATTCTTAAGCTATTTCATTTTGTCTCATTGGCTTATTATAGATATTTACTATTTCAAAAATACATTTTTCAAAATATAAATGATTTTCATAAAAAAATTAACATTCGGAAATTTAAACACAGAAGAATTTCTCTAATTTATACTTTCCTTTTTATCAAACCAATTCTTGGAATCATAACTACCCCTGCAAATAGTTTTCCATTGTTCATTTTCTTCCTATGGGTCCTTTCCCTATATTTATCCAAGGTTAGAAACAGGAATATTTAGGAAGCTCAAAACTGAGATAGTGTATATACGCAGCATGATTTTATACAGGAAACAAATCATTGTGAATTTTTTCAATGAATATGCATTGGGAGTACCAGGGAGCTCACGGACTAATTTCAGTAGACTGTCTTAAACAATTGACTAAAATGCAAATATTAAAGGCAAACCAAGAGTGTTCATGAACTGTGGCTGGTTAACTTCCATTGCCAAGACAGGAATTTAAAAAAAAAAAAAATCTGTCTAGTTGAGCTAAATGAGTAGGTGTTTCCTCTATAGTTCTGAGGTACCACAGCACTCATTCTTTTCAGTTTCAGTCAGTTGCCTTAAGTGAAGATAGCACTTCTGTGGGTGTCTGACTTGATTCACCTGCTCTTGTTTTGACCAGGGCTACCATCCTTGTTCTTTTTACCAGGCAACTTGTTTTCTTATGGCTGTAGGCAGATGACCCAGAGGAGGTGAGTCATACCAAACAAGTGAAGGTTATCTACAGTTGCTTTAACTATCGGGTTTTTATTTCACATAACCCCTCTATTTTCATCATTTCCTCTAGTTCAGCGGTTCTCAACCTGTGGGTCGCGACCCCTTTGGCGTTGAACGACCCTTTCACAGGGGTCGCCTAAGACCATCCTGCATATCAGATATTTACATGACGATTCATAACAGTAGTAACATTACAGTTATGAACTAGCAACAAAAATAATGTTATGGTTGGGTCACAACATGAGGAACTGTATTTAAAGGGCCAGAAGGTTGAGAACCACTGCTCTAGTTGCTAATACAATTTACAAGCATTTTATTGTAAAATTGAAAAATTCAATTACTGTACCTCTTCTATTTTCTTAGAAGAAGCTTCATTTTTATTATTTTTGAATTCTTCATTTATTTTTATTCTGGCTGCTACAGAAAGAAAAATACATAAAGTTATTTGCTTTTCTAATTTATAATTCCTGCCCCAATAATTTACATGTTATTCATTATGAATGACTACTTCTCTAGTAGAGGAAATATATTTGCTCCATGTAAAACAAAGTATAAAAATCAGAAATTTATTAAAGAAGTCTCTTGGAGAACTTATGACAGGCGGGCAAGTTTGTAATTAAATCTAATATAAACCTTCAGCACTCTAATACTTTTGTTTCCTGCTTTTCACTTCCAATTTCATTTGTGTACTTCAAGATATTAGATTCAATAAATCCAATGTAATTCTTTGTTTCTATAAATCTAAGAATTTAACTTAAAATGTTTTTAAGATGGCAAAACTCAATACTTACAAGCACATTAACCCAGACATACATACACAAATTAAAATAAATATATAGCAGCTCTGAGCACCGTGGCTGACATGTAAAGTAAATGATAAATAAAACTTTTGTTCATGTACACCACTGAGACTTCAGCATCATTACAGCAGCATCATTCAGTTTAACCTGACAAACTGCCTTACTGTACTGCTGTAAGCATTTAATGGAATGATCCATATAAAGTGCTTAGTAAACATACAATGTTACCTGTTCTTATAATTACTTCACTTAAAAGCATTTAAAGCAACAAAAATATGCTATTTTGATGGGAGAATAGTCATAAAACCTTCCTTTTATGCTTCAGAATTTCAAAATGCAAGGTGGTTCAGAGTTTGGGCATTGGAACCAGACTGCTTAGGCTGAATCCTAGCTCTACCTCTTGCTAAGTAAATGTGGGGCAAATTCTTTCACATTTTTTAGTTTCTTATCTTAACAGAAATCATACAGTAAAACCTCGATATAATGGACTAATTCAGGTGAGGCAGGGTGTCTGTTAAAGCTGACAGTCTATTTTATAATAAAACTAGAGGTCTGGTGCACGAAATTCGTGCACAGGTAGGGTCCCTAGATCTGGCTGGTGATCAGAGCCGAGTGGGGCCTTCTGGCTGCCGGCCGGGGCCTTCCTTTGTTCTGTGCTGCCTCCTGGTGGTCAGTGCACGACATAGTGAGTGATCGAACTCCCGGTCTCATGGCTGAACTCCCGAGGGGACACTATGCATATTAGCCTTTTATATATATGTAGTAGACAGGTTTTCCAAATGTCTATGTTAAAAAATTGACAAATGTAGATGCATTTGTGTAATTAAAATTATGTATGAAAGTTTAATTTCACAGAAAACTTTTCTACATGTATGACTGTAATTTTAAATTTATACTAAATAGGTCTAGTAAATGTGTGCATTCACCAGTCACTGTGAATAAACAAATGCACACGTCTGGGGCAGGCATGGCTTAGCTCATGTCGGAAGATGGGTGGCATGCGTTAAAACTGCTGCAGAAAGTCACGCCATGCAACAATAGAACCAATTACCCCGTGGGATGTTACAAAGGAAAAACAAACAAAAACTTAGCTTCTAATGCTTTGGTATCTGTGATCAAATGCTAATCATTTGCTGAACATTGTTTATGAGCAATCACTCTTGGATTTAAATATGCAGACTATGGTTGTAGATATGTAACATTTATTTATGTTGGTGAAATTACTAGTATTTTTCAAACATATGGCTTATTCACTAAAATTTGTTAAAAATAATTTTTTAATAACAAATAAACAAAACAACAAATTTATCAATTTAATTATAAACAAATCTTGGTTTAAAGCATTTTAAAATTAATAGGGTGTTAAATTAATTTCACATGAAATACAGGCTAGAAATTTTTTTTTAAATATATTTTACTGATTTTTTACAGAGAGGAAGGGAGAGAGATAGTCAGAAACATCGATGAGAGAGAAACATCGATCAGCTGCCCCCTGCATATCTCCTACTGGGGATGTGCCCGCAACCCAGATACATGCCCTTGACCGGAACCGAACCTGGGACCCTTCAGTCCGCAGGCCAACGCTCCATTCACTGAGCCAAACCGGTTTTGGCCAGGCTAGAAATTTTTCCATTAAATCCTAATTCTGTTAAATCAATCTCCACAAAATCAAGGGTTTACTGTAATAGCAACTATATCACAGGGTTGTTATAATAATTAAATGAGGAATTTGTGTAAAGTACAATATAAGGCATATATTTTAATATTCAAGAAATTCTTTTTGGTGAATTACAAAAACTAGAATTTCCTGGGACAGTGGAGACACTTAACCTAGGTAAAGAGGTTTAGAAATGTATGAGGATTGGAAGTGAACATGACCAACACAGAACCAGGTAAGATAGAAATCACTTAAAACAGTGAAATGCTAAATGTGGAATTGCTTGGAATAGATTCTCTTTCTTAGGTGCTGTCACTTCTAGAATGACACAAGGCATTAACAATATGGTAGTATCTAGTCCTAGAGTGTGTGAAATTGTGATAATAAAATAGAGAAAGGACTTTAATTTTCTTTAAGTGTATACACCTCAAAAAAGTGTAATTGTAAACTAATCTTTATAACACATAACAACATCAGGGAAGAGGTAGTGAAGGCCATTCCCTAAGATGAGGCTTGACTATACAGGGTCTCTTGGATATATGAGCAGCCGTCTGAAGATCAGACTTGTTCCAAAGGAAAATAAGTAAGCTTACCTTCTAATGCTCTGATATCATTTTTAAAAACTTGTTGTCTGGTACTGTACAATCTTTTAAAGAGCTGTAAAACCTATCAAGAAAATAAGAAGTCAGACAGCAAAAGAAAAGAACAATCACATTTTACATAATTACAAGTATGTACTTACATAATTACATAAGTAGTAATTCTGTTCTGTTCGTTTCATTGACTATTTTTCAAAGTAGCTGATGAAAACCAGGGTTTCTGGAAACACCTTTACATTGATTATTTATCTTTAAATTAAAAACCTTTATTTACAAAAATAATACCCAGGTCTTTGAAACAAAACAATATAAAGATAGTTAAAAAGTTAGTAATTCCCCTGCAAAACCAGTCTGCCAAGGTAAACAACTTTACCTGTCTGGTATGTTTTATCATTTTTCTTAAGATATGGAGGCCTTCTTCTGTTCTTAAAGTGAGGCACATACTAGTACACACACATTCGTGACCTTATTAAATCTTAAGAGAGCTCAGAAGGAAGATGTTCTGGGTAACTCAGGCAAGTTCAATTGTGATTTCTCAAAAAATAAGTAGAATGCTGACACCTGATTTTTACAAGATTATGTTAAAAAATGGAGAGAAAAGAGCCTGGCACTTTGGTAGGAGTCAGATTGTGAGGAGGATTTAGCGATAGACTGAGGCCACCTCGCACTTCTTTAAAAAACACACAAACTAGTCCCGAAAGGCGGAGCGGAGCCTGGCAGAGCCCAGCTGAGCCCTAACCCCAACAGCTGTAGCCAGTCCTGACTGGGGAGCCCAGCCCCAAAGAGCCCAGCCCCGAACAGCCAAACCCTGTCTGGAGGGCGGAACCTCGCCCCAAAGACCCAGCCCCTAAGCAATACCTGTTCTTCCCGCAGGCCCAAGGAACCCAGCCTGTGTCAGTGATTTCCACAGGCACCTCTCCTTGAGACTCAGCAGCCCTTTCAACCTCTGGCTCCTAGGCCAGGATGCTCCCTGATGGGTCCTTTCCTGGAAGGCACTCTGGTGGAGACCGGGACTTCCCCAAGGCCCGGATCAATATGATTGTACTGGCCCTAGCCCGGACTAGCCCAGCTAAGACCTAAGGGCTGACACTAGTTCCGAAGTGCGGAGCCTAGACTGTAAGACCCAACCTAGTCCCGCATAGCCAGTCAGTACTGAAGGGCGGAGCCTAGCCAACAGCCACCTCATACTTCTCAAGTCCAAAAGAATACTCAATGTTATTCCCCCAATACTGCTTTTTCTCCTGTCTTCTCAATTTCAGTAATGGAAGACACAGTCTTTCTCAAGCCAGAAATTTTAAAATCATCTCTAAATCTACCTTACTCTTCATGTGGGAACTTTAGGATGTCTAATTTTTGTATATCCACCATAGGCCCAAACTATTTAAGTTCAGATGCTCCCCATCCGTTTCTTTCTTTCTTTTTAAAAAATATATTTTACTGAATTTTTACAGAGAGGAAGGGAGAGGGATAGAGAGTTAGAAACATCGATGAGAGAGAAACATCCATCAGCTGCCTCCTGCACGCCCCCTACTGGGGATGTGCCCGCAACCCGGGTACATGCCCTTGACCAGAATCGAACCTGGGACCTTTCAGTCCGCAGGCTGACGCTCTATCCACTGAGCCAAACCGGTTAGGGCCCCATCCGTTTCTTAGACTACTTAAAAAGGTTTGTTACTCTGTCACCATTCCTCCTTTTCTCCAGTCCATTCACCAGACAATATCTAACATTTACTGAGTATATCATGTGTGCTAGGTACTGTTTTAAATATTTTATATATTTTTGAAAACCTCTAACTTCAAAGGCATACAGCAAAACAGAAACAGGAAACAAGGAGCAGAAAACATAAAGACAACTACACTTAACTACCAAGTTATTGCAAACATGCAATAAAAACAAAAAGAAAAATTTAAAAAGGAGCCTTTAGGCCCTGGCCGGGTGGCTCAGTTGGTTGAAGCATCATCCTGCACACCAGAAAGCTTCAGGTTCTATGTCCGCTTGGAGCAGATGCTTGGTTTTGGATTTGATCCCTGGTCAGGGAGAGTGTGGGAGGCAGCCCGATTGACGTCTATCTTTCACGTTGACGTTTCTCTCTTTCTCTCCTCCCTCTCTAAAAAATCAGTAAACATATCCTCAGATGAGGATTTTTTAAAAAGGAATGTTCAGTAACTCCCAAAAGCTTACGGATGTCAAATTAGTAAAAGCAGAGATTAAGTTGACAAATAAAAATTGAGGAGAGAAAAGATAATTAAGGGAGTGATCTAGATGGCTCCAACAAGAGAGAACAGAGAAAACAGAAATTAAAAGGGAGAATAAATTAAGGAAATTTCACCAAGTAAGGTGCTTGAGTTACTAGATTGAAAGGGCTCCACCAAGTGCCCAACACAAAACCCATACTATGGCTCATGATGTAAGTTCAGCACAATGCTAATAAAAAGAAAAATCTGAGAGAAAAAAACAGTTCACATGCACTGGTATGTGATCAGAATGGCACCTGACTTCTCAGATCAGTGTGAGAAGACAATAGTAGATTATATTCAAGTTTTGGAAAAAAAAAATCCAGCTTAGAACACCAGACACAGCCAAATTATCATTTTAAACAAGGGCAAAGAGACATTTTTTAGAAATGCAAAGTCTCATAATGCCATACACCTTTTCTTGGAACACTACATGTGTTCCACCAAAACAAGGGATGAACCACTTAAGAAAAAAGCATGGGGATCAGAAAGACAGGTGATCCAACACAGGAGAGGCAGAGATAACGGTAAAGGACAAATATAGGTCAGCATTTGTGCAACCAGCTGAAAAAGCAACTAGTCTGGACTACAGAAAAGGCTGAACTGATCCAGAAAAGACATTACTAGAGAAAAAATAAAACTGGTAGACTTTAGTTTTGCTCAGAGTTTGGGAACAGATATGCAGGAAACTAGCCAATGATAAAAACAAGCCAATGATAAAAACAATGAAATTAGTTAATTTCAAGAAAATAGAAGAAGTATAAATTAAAGACAATGTACTCATATAGTTATATTAGAGATCCCAGCTGTGAATAAATTTTATATAGTCAAATAATATCAGAGACAAAAACTGATTCACCAAAATGTGTATATTGTGAAGAATAGGGGGTAAGGGGAAGCTTAGTCCTCAACCTCCAATGTTAAAAGTCAAAAAATAGTATCTCCAAAGAGAAAATAAATAGTAGTTTAAGCATGTTTAGAAACATGGAGGAAAATATCAGAAGGAATAGCTAAAATGATTAAAAGCTCTTATCTCTGGAGAGCAGGAATTAGGAGTATGTAGAAGGAAGTAGATACCTACTGGCATTTGTGTAACATTATTTCTGTCTTTTTAATTCATCTGTATTTGTCACAAGCTTTTTTTAAGCAGAATGTGACTTGAGCACTACATTTTCATTCACAAAACTTGCTCTGAGTTACTTTCAAATGGCTTTATAACATGCCTAGGTGAGCTTATAATTTTGCTACTCTAAATCATACTTTTCTTTGGAAAACAAGCTCTATGGATAGTTACTCCCATCAGATTGGTTCAGCTTAGTATACTAATTTCTAGAGGCCATACATGCAGTTGATAAATACAGGGGATAGAAGGTTTAAGAAGTAGACCCTAGGGAATGAAAGTTGTTTTAGCCATGTTTATCTCAAAACATTTCAGTGACAAAAGATTTGGTCTACTAAGGAATCCACTTGAAAGCTAAACACTTTAGAGTTAGACCACAACGTTAACAAACATTAGGTTACACACATCACACAACAAACATAACCTCATTTTGTTAAAATAAGCCAACCTGAAACTAGAAGAGAAAAACTAGCTCTGCTTAGAACCAACAACTTTGATTTCAGGTTTGTCACTGGACTCCTTTTCTTCTTTTTAAAAATATATTTTTATTTATTTTAGAGAGGAAAGGAGAGGGAGAGATAGAAACATCAACAATAAGAGAGAACAACCTATCGGCCAGCTCCTGCATGACCCCTGTAGATTTTGAGCCCGCAACCACAACCGGGGCCTGTGCCCTGATGTGGAATCGAACCATGACCTCCTGGCTCATAAGC